AGCAGCATCAGCTTCCTAGAGGAAAGACTGGGTTCTTATATCCTTTTAAAAAAGTGTTTCTGTATATGTTTTTTTTAAGAACACAATCAATCAGTGGAATTCTGAGGCAGTAAGGAAATAGGGAGAAAGTTTGGAGTAACAGAAGTTGATAAAAATCAGAAAATGCAGTTCTTTGTGCTTAGACTAAAACAGTGGAGACCTCCTTCAAGATAGAATCATTCCTGCTCAGCCTGTTGTTGCCAATAAAGAGGGGAATGAAAGTCGAGCCTGAGGGTCCCTATTGACCCATCTCCACAGATCTATTTCTTTATCTGGAGAGACATTTTCCCCAAGCTTGTCTTCACATTTTTCTTCCTCCTCCACAATTAGCTCAGATTCTGCATTCTGTAGGAGGCTCTTCTCATTTCCCCTGGCTGCTAGAGCCTTCTTCTCCCAGGTTCCCTTTTAATTACTCTATGTATCTTGTATGTGCCTGGATCCCACTTTAGAACATAAGCCCCTTGAAGTCATAGTCCCTGGTGAAAAGTAGATGCTTTTGGACTGATTAACTGATTTTAAACCTGCTTGACTGGGAGAATGGTAGTGCTCTCAACAGAAATAGGGAAGTTGGGAGGAAGAGGAAGAGGAGAGGAGGAGGAAGAACAGTTTTTGCTCACTAAGGCGTTCAGGTTTAGACACATCGAATGTGAGGCATCAGTAGTATTATCTAAGTGGCACCTATTGAGATGTGAGGATCTGGAATTTGACAAATAGATTTGGGAGATAATAATCTTAAAACAATTTACCTCACAAGGGTGTATGGAAAACATTCTGTAAAGATCATATAAATATGGGATAATTATTAATTTCATGTCCTATTTACATGAATTCCCAGAATCACAGAATTGCCTAGGGGTATTGATGGGAGAAAAGGAGGGAATAAGCATTTATTAAGCACCTACTATGTGCTAGGCATTGTGCTAAGTGCTTTACAGATATTATCTCATTAGGTCCTTAAAACAACCCTGGGTGGTAGATGCTATTATGATCTCCATTTTACGATTGAACTAAGGCAGAAAAAGGTTAAGTGATGTGCCCAGGGTCACAAATCTTAAAAAGATCTGAGGTCAGCTTTGAACTCTGGTCTTCTTGATTCCAGGTGGAGAGCTCTATCCATTGCACCACCTCCCTGCCACTGAAAGGTAAGTGACTTACATCATGCAGTACACAATAGAGTTAGAACTTGAAATTGGCTGTTGCTGATGGAATCTCCATTACAACATACTCAACAGTTGGTCGTTGTTTAATTGAAGGACCCACTACCTTTCAAAGCACCTCACTCCCCCTTTCTGAAATTTCCATTTGTTAGAAAGTTTTTCCTGACATCAGGCCTTAATTTCCATCTTTGTCACTTCCAAATTTTGCACCAGTTCTGACCTTTGGGACCAAAGAAAACAAATCTAATGCCTCTTCAAGATGACAGTCCTTTAGATACTTCAGGATGGCTATTTGTTCTCCCTGAATTTTCTCTTTTCAAGACTAACCATCTTCATTTCTTTCAACAAATCCTCATATGACATGGACCCAGGGCTCTTCATTATCCCTCCTTCCTCCTTCTTACTGCCTCCAGTAAGCCACATGTGAAATAGATTGGAATCATTAGCAGGCCTTAACCTCTTAAAAACATTCATTTGATTCAAGAAGTTGCTTAGTACTGGTATTTTTAAAAAAATCCCAATTGTCTTCATTTGCACCTGGGCCTGAACTCAAAACAGGATTCCTTTCTTAGAATTCCTTGTATTTTCTGTCCCTACGGTAGAGATACAGAGCTCTGACGAGAGACCAGGGAGGGTTTTCTGGGATCGTAGAGGCCCAAGGAGCCTACGTGAACTGCCTGAGTCTTCTTGTAGGAGGTTTTGCTGGGCTGCACTCTTTTATTGATGGCTAGACATAAAGAGAGTTCCAGCTAATTCCTTTAGGCACCAATTCCCTCCGAAGGGCAACACCTTAAGGGTGACAAAAACAAGCTATGAGGAATGGAGATTTCCGCAGGTAAATGCAAGGTAGTGATTTCTACCACAACACACCTTTTAACTGAATTATTTTTCGCAAGCTTCAGTGCCATTTAAGACCTGGATTGAGATGCAATGTAGAACTCATTGAAGTCTGAGGCTTCTGGGTGTGAGGAGCTCCATTTTAAAGCTTTAAAACTCTCTTAAGTAACCAGAAAGGGGAGCTGTTTATTTCCATCGACACCTCAAACACCTGCTTAACTGATAGTTGATTATGTGTTTTTAACGCTTGTGATTGAAAATCCAACACCTGGCTGATTAGGCGGCTGTTTGATCATGTTTGGAAAAGCAGTTCCATCTTGTGTGGTATTAAGTGGATTGGGTGCCTCTAGGTTTTGGGGCCTAGTCTCTGTTGTGGCAGGATGTTCCTGCTTTAAAAATACCTTCTCCTTGGTATTCTTATTCCATTTTTAATTAAATCTTCTGTGTCGGAAACTTCCACGCTCTGAGATTTTAGCTTATGGGGAGTAGATCTTGATGACCAAGCATTAGCACTGGCATACCAGTCAAAGCTGCTTGATTGAGAGGCTGGCCTTCTCTCCTTCTTTGACACTGTTCTAGGCTGCTTTAGTGTGTGGACTGCCCATTACGGTGCTGGCTCACTGCACCAGTTATAGGGCTCAGCTTCTCCACCCCAGCATGGAGGACTGGGATAGGTATCATTTCTTGAGTTTCCCTAGTGTGCAGATGGGACCCCAGTTTCTCACCAGTTAGGAACTAGTGAAGCTACATGGTTCAAAGCCAAAGTACAGCCTCTTCACGGAATCATCTTTCTACCCTTTTCTTCCTCACCAGCAAACTTTTTAGCACAGTGCCTGGCATTTTTGTTGTTTGGTCATTTCAGTTGCATCTGACTCTTTGTGACCCCATTTTGGAGTTTTCTTGGCAAAGATATTGGAGTGGTTTGCCATTTCCTTCTCCAGCTCATTTTACAGATGAGGAAACTGAGGCCAACAGCTGACTTGCCCAGTGTCACACAGCTAGGAAATATCTGAGGCCAGGTTTTAACCCAAGATGAGTCTTCCTGATTCTAAACCTAGTGCTCTATCCACTGCATCTTCTAGCTGCCCACCTGGAACATAGTAGGTGCTATATAAATATTTATATGCTAATTCTCTTTCCCTTCCCCACTGTGGACTGGTAACTATGATGCCTGAGGTAATACTAATAATAGCTTACATTTATATAGTGCCCTTTCCATATCTTATCTCAATTGATCCTCACCACAACAATATGAAGTAGATACTACTATCATCTTTATTTTATTGATGAAGAAACTGAGGCAGATGAAGGCTAAATGACTTGCCCACTTGATAAAGATTTGAAATCAGGATTTGAATTCAGGTCTTCCTGACTACAGGACCTGTACTCTCTGTACTGTGCCAACTAGCTGGTCCTATACTAACAACCATCCTGACTATACCCTTCCCTTGTTGCGTCTGTCTTCCATGTTCCTACCCCAGGACACCTCATTTTGGGCCTTACATTTTCCCTTGTGTTCATTAAAATGTTATGAAATAGAGGCCTATTGTTTGTTTGTCTGTTTTTTTAGCATTAATTGGCCTCTTTCATGAAGCCTGTCAAAATTCCAAGATAAGTGTGAAAGACTGAGACAAATATTTATTGTTTTCTTTAATAATAAATACAAGATAAAAACTATGTTCTTTTGATAGAAGGTGATCTTTTCAATTATCTTCCCATTGTGGAGATCTTCCTTTAAAAGGAGAATACTCATAATTGGCATTCTATTTTATTTTATTTTTGAGGCAATTGGAATTAAGTGATTTGCCCAGGGTCACACAGCTAGTAAGTGTCTGAGACCACATTTGAACTCCTGACTCCAGGACCAGTGCTCTATCCAGTGCACTACCCAGCTGCCCCAATAACTAGCATTTTAAAAGCACTTTTGTACATTGTCTCATTTGATCCTTAAAATCCTGTGAGATGGGTGGTACAAGTTTTATGATTTCTTTTCCTTTTTTTTTTAACAATTGAAGAAACGGAAACACGGAGGATTTAAATAACTTAATGAAAGATAAGCAGTAGAACTAGGATTTGAGCCTAGATGTTTTGGCTCTAAAGCTGGATAGCATAGCTGCCTCACATGTTAGCTTTCCTTTAGATCTTTAAGTGGAACAAGTAGTCTCTTGGGTTGATGCTTTGGTATAAAACCAGAAGCTCAACTTAATAACTATTCTTAGAGTACTATGGTGAACTTAGGTTCAGTTTTATATTTTATGTAACCTCACATGCACATTTTCTCATTTATAGAAAATCTTTATAAGAATGGTCTATGTACACATTAAGGGCATCCTCGATGAGAACATATCAAAGAAACAACACAAGAAATGGCTTTAATTATGCGCTCCCCTCCCCCCAAAAGAAAAGGCTTTAAAAACATTTAATATTTTTTCTTACTCTGACCTTGACAATACCAACAACATGAACATTTCCAGAAATAAAGAATAGTGAAAAAAGATTATTATATATGAAACCATAAGCCTCATTCTTTATAGCTTGTTTTAATATATATGTATATATAATCAATTCAGTATGTTAGTTCCAAAGCTATCTTGCTTGTCTTCATTTCCCTAAGTCTCCTTCTGATTTTTTGAGTACTTTCTATTAACAATCTTTTTTCTTCTTTTTGGCACCACAATCCAAAGGGATTCTCCCCTTTCCTTACTCCTATATTCTCCCCCCACCCTAAACGCAGCCCAACTCTCTCTTGGAACAAATTAACATGATCAAAAAAAAAATCCACACATTGGCCAGGTCCAAAAATGTATGTCTTTTTCTCTATCTCTAGTCCATCATCTTTCTGCCAAGAAGTGGGAAGTGTGCTTCTTCACAGTCCTCTGGAAGAATGGTTTAGTTGTTACATTGGTCAGAGTTCTTAAATCTTTGAAAGTTATCTTTCTTTACAATGTTGTTGTATAAATTGTTCTGGTTCTGCTCATTTCACTGTATCAATTCATTCTAGTCTTCCCAGGCTTTTCCAAAATTGTTCCTTTTGTCATTTCATAAGGTGAAATAATATCTTATTACATGACTACTCTCCAATTGATGGAAACCTTTTTAGTTTCCAGTCCTTTTAACAACGAATCAGTTTTTATATAAATGGTTCTTTTTCCTCTTTCTTTGATCTCTTTAGGGTTTGGGCTAATTGTAGAATTGTCAGAAATACATAGCTTAGTGACTTGTAGGGCACAGTTCCAAATAGCTTTCCAGAAAGGCTGAATCAATTCACACATTCCCTCGAAAATGGTTGTTTTCCTTTTTTTTTGGGGGGGGGGAGGAAATCATCCTTGACAATATGATGGACAAGAAGTGGAATCTCAGAGTTTTAAAACCGTGTATTTCTCTTAACAATGATTTGGGGACATTTTTCATATGATTGTTGATAGTTTATTTTTCTTCTTTTGGGAGCTGCCATACAGGAAGGATTTTGCAAATGATTTTCCATAACAGTCATCATAGTCAAACAACTGACTGAGAGATGTGGAGGTTTTAAGATGTGTTTTGTCTATTGTTTGCTGATTACAAAAACAAAAGCACATTTAATTTGATAGAATAAAAATCTCTCCTTGAATAACATGTCTCTCATTTAAACTCAAATTGGAAAACTATGACATGAGACCAGAGGGAAAACTTTGTTCGAAGATCTACTAAGCATCAATGCCAATTGAGGCATAAAAACAGGTGTGCAAGTAGAGGAGGGATTCTCTGTAGATACTGAGGTATTTCAGATGCTCACATTCAGATGTGAGATTTTCAGGATGACATTGTGCTGATTGCATTAAGCCCTGGAATACCGGATCAATGAAATCAACAATAATTCAAGAGATTGCCCAGCCATCCACACTGAAAAACAAAATATGACATGAGGAACTGGTTCAAATTCTCCAATATGTAAATGATCAAAGGATATTATTAGGCGCTTCTCAAAGAAAGAAATCCAAAATGTCAACAACAATATAAAAAAATGCTCCAAATTCTTAATAAAGAAATGCAAGTTAAAGCATCTCTGAGGTTCCATATTCATCAACTTCATTAGATTAGCAAAATTAGAACTGATCTCTTTCAGGATGGAGATTGTTTTTTGCCACTTTTCATATCTCCGGTACTTAGCATGGTGCCTGACACATGGCAGGTAATTGATTGGTTGGTTGGTTGGTGGGTAGTATATGTTTATTGACTGACAGTTGATTTTAAAAAGGGAAATGACAATTGTTGGTAGGACTGAAAATAGGCACAATAATATATTATTACTGGAGTTGTGAATTGGTCTTTACATTCTAGGAAGCATCTTGGAACGATGTCCAAAAAGTCACCAAACTCTGCTCATACCTTAAAGAAATAAAAGAAAGAAGAAAAATATCCATATATACAAAAATATTTATAGTTGCTCTCTTTGCTATAGTAAAGTAGTGGGTTCCCATCAGTTGAGGAAAGGCTAAGCAAATTATGGCATAGGAATGTCATGAAGATTATTGCTTCATAAGAAATGATAAAAGGAGCTGTTTTAGAGAAACCTGGGAAGACTTGTATGAATAGATGGATAGACAGAAAGGTGATAGATGGAAAATGTATTTTTAAGTAACTTACAATGCGCTAGGTACTGTGCTAAGAGCCAGAGATATAAATGCAAACAAGCAATACAATTCCTGCTCTCAAGGATCTTACCTTCTAATAGGTAATGCCAACACAAGAGCATCTAGAAGGAGAGGATACACTCTTGGTAGCATGGTGTAGAGCAGACATATAAATAATATGGAGACCTGAGTCTTGGCAATATAAGGTGAAAGCTCACCTATCAGAGCTTGGTGATCCAGGGACTGGGGTTTAGTGGTTTGCCATAAAGTGAGTGTCAAGGGCAGACCATCCATTACAACAGGAGTTTCTCACCTTTTTTATGTGTTATGAATCCCTCTGGCAGTCCAGTAAAGCCTATGGCCACCTCAGATTAATGCTTTTAAATGCATATGATAAAATACATGAAACCAGAAAGCTAATCATATTGAAACGAAATTATCAAAATACTAAACAAAAACAAGGTAATAAACCCCAGATTAAGAAAATCCACAGTATGTCAATCTGGAAAATAATCTCATTCTTTTACAAAAATATCGCCTCAAGCAGTATTTTCAATACATATATGTTATTCAATATTTATACATTAAATTATATTTTATTTTTACTTTGTTTAATTTTAATTTAAATTTATGCATTAAATTTGTATGATTTAAATTTAATATTTAATTTAGTAGGGAGAAAATACTATTAGCATTTACATTTTCTCCAGGAGTGCCTACTAACATTGTGTAGAATATTGAGTTTTTGAGTAGAAGTGGAGAAGAAAAGGATACTCAGGAGTCCAAGACCTATGGTCAATGATCAGTGATTAGAAGTGTTTTTAAAACAGTTCGGTGCAGAATTTAGGGGCCATTTAAGTGAATGAGACTTCATTTCTCATTTTTAATTTGCCTTTAATAACTTAGATTCTGTACTGTTTTCTTCTGTGGTCCCTACTATATTATCAATGAAGAATCATTTCCTATGGCTAAAGCCAGCTCCCTTGCTGAGTCAGCTCATTAGTCTTAATAGTCTTTCAAATGATTTACAGCTGCTATCATTTCTTCCTGGGGAGGCTGGCTGCCTGTCCCAGGCCTTCAGAGTTATAGAGAATGCTGTCAATGGCAGAGGGTGTCTGTTAGGGAGAGATGTGAGACCTTGCTACCAGTATTCAGAGTTGACAATTGAGGAATGAGCACATTTATTTTGAAAAGAGGCCATATCAAAATAGTGCTATGAAGAGCTGGTAATTCTCAATGTAGGAGCAGCCATAACATGGTAGCAGTGTATAGTGGAGAGGCAGTGTGTTATAAGTGGAAAGAGTACTGGTCTCGGAATCAGGAAGACCTAAGTTCAAATCCTGCCTACCACATTTATTAGCTATGTAATTCAGGCCAGTCACTTAACTTCTCTGTACAGATAGGTTTCCTTATCTATAAAATGAAGATGTTGGATTTGATGACTTTTGGCTCTAAATATAAGACTCAATGTAGTGTTTCCTACATTTTTTTTTTGTTCAATCTATGACAGACTTGTCATCCCACAAGGGCAAGCTATGTTGAGGAAGGTATGATTCTTTATCCAGCTATTCTCTAGTTGGGCATATGTCCATTCATACCTCACTTCCATCTCCTTCCCCAACCACATTTTGCATAGTTGACTTATTGAAGTCCCTTCTAGAGTAAATGTTCTTTGATTTTGTGTAAATAATACAATATTTTTTAAAAAAGAAGGGAAGGGATAAAAATCTGTAATTAGATAGGGAGATAAGGGAAAGAAAAGAGGGGCAGGGGAGCCAAAAATAAATCACATTTTGCTGAAATATATTAATAGATAAATACAGTAATATAAATACTAAACATATATGTACCAAATGGTAAGGTATCTAAATACATAAATGAAAAGTCATATGTTATAGGGAAAAATAGACAATAAAATTATAAAAGTGGGGTACCTAAATTTACCCCTTTCAGTCTTTGATAAATCTAACAAAAATAAAGAAGTAAAAAATTAAGGACTTGAATATAGTTTTAGAAAAGTTATAGAGGTTATTGGATAGTAATAGGAGTATACATATTTTTCAATTGTGTTTGGTACTTTGCCAAAAATTGACCATGTGTCAGGGTATAAAAACTACACAAATGCAGAAAAGCACAAATGCTAAACATTTCTTATAAGGACACAGTACAATAAAATTGTATTAAATAAAGGACTAAGGAAGAAAAATTAAAAATTCATTAGTGAGTAAATAACTTGATCCTCAGGAATGCATGAGTCAAAGAACAAATTATAGAACCAATTGATGACTTCATTAAGAGATAATGACAACAATGAGACAATGTACCAAAAATTTTTGGATGCAGCCAAAAGTAGTTCTTAAGGGAAAATTGATGTCTCTAAACATTTTCACCAAAAAAAGAAAAAGCGTGTCACTAAAAAAGAAAAAGCCCAGAAGACAGCAAAAAAAAAAAAACACCTCTGCAATTAGACACCAAAATAGATGTCCTAAAAATCAAAGAAAAGATTAACAAAATAGAAAGTGAAAAAACCTCATTGAATTAATAAAACTATTTCTAAAAAATAGATAAGCTATTAGCTAACTTGACTAAAAAAAAGAAATAAGAAAATCAAATTACTAGTATCAAAAATGAAAAAGATGAATTCATAATGAATAAAGAAGAAACAAAATAAATTACCAGAAATTATTATGCCTGATTATATGTCAATAAAATAGACAATCTAAATGAGATAGATGAATATTTACAAAAATATAAAATGCCCATATTAACAGAATAAGAAATGGAGAATTTAACCCAATCTTAGAAAAAGAAATTAAGCATACCATAAATGAATTCCCAAAGAAAAAAGTTCAGACCAGATGGATTTACAAGTGAATTCTATCAAACATTCAAAAAACAATTAATTCCAATGTTATATAAATTGCTTGGTAAAAAAAAAAAAGAGAAAAGGAGTCCTACTAAATTTATTTTAGTAGGTGGAATTGAACTAGAGAAAGAAAACTATAGGCCAATATCCTTAATGAATATCAATGGAAAAAATTTAGATAAAATATTTGCAAGGAGATTATAGTTTTATATTAAAATATTATATACTATGACCAGGTCAAATTTATGCCAGGAATACAAGACTAATTCAATAACATGAAAACTATAATAACAAAAACAACATGAATCATATAGTTATATCAATAGTTGAAAAAAATCTTTTTACAAGATAGAACACACATTTCTTTTAAATACACTAGAAAACAGGAATAATGGGTCTTTTGTTAATATAAATAGTAGCTATCTAAACAAGAAACAACATTATCTGTAATGGGTGTATGCTAGAAATATTTCCAATAAGATTAGGGATATATCAAAGATATCCATGGATATCGAAAGATATCCATCACCACCCTTCCTATTCAATATAGTGCTAGAAAGACCAGCTATAATAAGAAGAAAGAGAAATGAAGGGAGAATAAGAATAGGCAAGGAGGAAACAAAGTTATCACTTTTTGTAGATGATTTGATTTACTTAGAAAAACTTAGAGAGTCAACTAAAAAACTAATTGAAACAACAACTTTATCAAAATTAGAGGATATAAAATAAACCTACATCCTTTTTCAGGATTTCCGTACATTAGCAACAAAGTCCCGCAGGAAGAGATAAATAAAGAAATTCCATTTACAGTAACTACAGAAAGTATAAAATATTTGGGAGACTACTTGCCAAGACACACACAGGAGCTGTATGAATATTTCTATAAAATGCTCATTTCCCAAATTAAGATAGATTTAAATACTTTGAGAAACATTAATTGCTCAAGGATAGGATGAGCCAATATAATTAAAATAGCAATATAATCTAAACGAATTTTACTTATTCAGTGCTATGCCAATTAAACTACTAAAAGATTACCTCACAGAGTTGGGAAAAATAATAAAATTAATTTGGAGCAAACAAGACTCTCTATCTCTAGGCTACAGACATTTTCTCTGGCTGTCCAGGATGCCTGGAACACTCTCTCTCCTCAGCTCTGCCTGCTGCCTTCCTTTAATCCCAACTAAAATCTATCTTTTACTGGAAGCCTTCCTCAATCTCTCTTAATTCTAGTGTCTCCCCTCTGTTAATTATTTTCCATTTATCTTATATATGTAATTTACTTTGAATATATTTGTTCACATATTGTCTCCCCCATTAGACTGTAAGCTACTTGAGGGCAAAGACTGTCTTTTGCTTGTTTTTGTATCTCTAGTGCTTAGCATGGTGCTTGGTACATGGTAGGAGCTCAATAAGTATTTATTGATTGATAAAGTTAAAAAGTTTTTGCGTGAGCAAAAACAATATAGCTGAAATTAGAAGAGTAGCAGGAATGGGAAAAAAAATCTTTGTAGCAAATTTCTTTGGTGAAGGTCTCATTTCTAAGCTAGAAAGGGAACTGAGTCAAATTTATCAGAATAAGAGCTATTAACCAATTGGTAAATGGTCAAAGGGAATAGGCAGTTTTTAGAGGAAGAAATCCAAGGTATCAATAGCTACATGAAAAAAATGACCTAAATCACTAATGATTTCCAGAAATTCAAATTAAAAGAACTCTTTGGTTCTGCCTTATACCTTTTGGAGTTGGCAAAGCTGACAAAGGAAAATGAGTCAGTGACTAGCCCTAGAACTTGAGAGTCTGTTGGCTTTGGGCCTAGGGTTCTTTCGGTCAAATTGCCCTGCTGTGTTCTGTGGCCAGAAGTATTAAAGCATCTTCCCAGTTTAGGAGCTGGCCACCTTGCACAAGTGGCATTCCAAGTCTTCATGTACTAACTCCAACTTAAGTTTTCATGTGCCTGTAATATAGTTTAACATTTAAAAGGTATCTCTCTATATATAGAGTATGAGAAAAAGTCACTAGATAGCTGTGCCTTTTTTATTAAGACATTAAAAGAACATTTTAAATTATGTTCACAGACTCAACTTACTGTTATATTTTCCAGCTGAATAATGCATTTTGTCTCATCCAATTTTAAAGAAGGGAAAGAGATCTGAATCTGGAGCCAGAGGACCTGGGTTAGAATCTCAACTTAGCTGGTCACTACTTGTGTCACCTTAGACAATGAGCTGGGGTTTTTTTTTGTCTTTTGGCTAGGCAATGGGGTTAAGTGACTTGCCCAGGGTCACACAGCTAGTATGTGTTATGTGTCTGAGGCCGGATTTGAACTCAGGTCCTCCTGAATCTAGGGCCGATGCTCTATCCACTGCGCCATCTAGCTGCCCCAGCTGTTTTTTTTTTTAAAGGTTTTATTTGATGGCTACTATGTTCTGTGATGTGAGCATGGGGATGCCCCTCCCCAAAGGACTCTAGCTCTAGGGTAATACAGATTCCATTCATCCTGAGAATGGGCCTGACCCTTAAGATAGTGAGGTCAGGAAGCTCTAGCTTTCCTTGGTTTATAGTCTATACTAACTTCTGAGAAATATCTGAAACCAAACTTAGGTATGGCTCAATTCTAGGGTCCTCCTAAAAAAAAAGGGGGTATTTAGGGGCAGATTGGTGGTGCAGTGGATAGAGCACTGGCCCTGGAGTCAGGAGAACCTGGGTTCGAATCCAGTCTCAGACCAGACACTTGACACTTACTAGCTGTGTGACCCTGGGCAAGTCACTTAACCTCAATTGCCTCACGCCCCCCCCCCAACAGGTATTCAGTGCATAATATGGATATTGGGTATAGGACAATAATTAACTTCCTCCACTTCTGAAAATATTTAAAACACAAAAGACTCAAAGGAAACTTTAACAAACACAGAAACATAAAACAAACCGCTGCAAACATTATACTTTCCCCAAAAGGTAAAGACAAGTTTATGGGACTGCTGAAATAGAGATTTCGCTTTCATCTCAAACCCACCGTGTCTGATCAGCTCACAAGGTCTTCAGCCCCAGTTTTCTTAGTCCTTTTCTTGGTGAAAAGCATTCTCTTGTCAGTCGTGCTAGTGTACAAATGAAGCATTGTCTGCTGGGCGGATGGTACTGGACTCAGGAAATCTGGACATCTCAGATTCATGAGGTTACCATCAAGATTGGAGACATCCATTTCTCAGGCTCACTGGCAGTTATTGGCCTTTGCTCAGGGAAGAAGCAAAAAGCAGAAGGAAATAGAGGACACGGTCTTATGTAGGCAAGCTCCACGTTCTCATTACCATCACTGCTGTGGGGGAAGGGGAGTGAAAACCCCTCCTCCCTTCATGCTAGAAGAATCCTTGCTTATATTTGTAGCCTTGATGCTTAGCACAGTTCCTGCCACCCACTAAATGCTTAATAAATACTTATTGCCTACATGCCTGCTTGTCTGAAGGAGCAAGTAAGTTGTTTCTTCTCAACTCCTCTTGTCACAAATCAAGTAAATGGAACTTCCTGACTTTGACCAATCACCTCTGATGCAACTCCTGTCACTAATGGCCAGTCAGGAGCTGCTGCATCATCTCAGTAAGGATCATGTCCTTCATCAAGGGACCAGAGCACATGCCTAACTCCATGGTAGATGCTTTAGTCCACCAAAGCAAAAGTTTACCCATGTACAATCCTATAATTTATTTTAAACATAGCAGCTAGGTGGTGTGGTGGGTAGACTAGCAGGCTTGGAGTCAGGAAGACTCATCTTCCTGAGTTCAATCTAGCCACAGATACTAGCTGTGTGACTCTGGGCAAGTCATTTAACCTTGTTTGCTTCAGTTTCCTCATCTGTACAAGAAAACTCTAACAATACAAAATGTATCTAAGCACCAAATGGGCAGTAAAGCTAATAAGTGTTATAAGAGTCTAGAAAAAGTCAGTGAGCAGTATGGGGTGAGGATGGGGGGGGTGGAATGGGATCTAACTCATGGAAGAAAGATCTTAGATCTAGGGCTGGAGGGATCTCAGAGGTCATCTAGTTTAACATCCTCATTTTAGAAATAACTTCGTTATGATGTATGCTATAACACTGGTCAAGACCTAATCTATGCCAAATTACTTTCCTGTTTTCCCAGCAACTTTGGTCAAATAGAGAGCTCTTGCCTAGGTAATCTATGTTTTGGGGTTTATTGAAGACTGGCCAATACCTTCGTTTTACAGAGGAGAAGACAGGTCTAGAAAAGTTAAGTGATGTACACCAGCTCACACAGATGGTAAATGCCAGAACTGGTATTTGAATTCAGATGCTGTGAGTCCAAGTTCAATGATTTTTCTCTCACAAGCCAATCTGACCTAATACCAGCAAATCTTAGCTAGGTAGGCCTAATGAGAGAAGAGACAGCCTGTAACAGCTTCTGTAGAGAGTGAGCTAGCTAATAGATCAGGGATGAGTAGAATGTTGATTTTACTGGTGTGAGGGTATAGTTGAGATTAGATAACATAAATTCCTAGTGAACCCACAGGTGAGTAGGACGGAAGGAGCAGGACGGGAGCAGTAACTCGAGGTTGGGGTTAGGAATAGGCACAAACAGATGGGATGCTAACACACGGCCAGAAAGTTCTCTAAAGGGAACTGGTCTGTCCTTCCATGGATGTGTGCTTACACACACGTTCCTAAAACCTTACGAACATAGGATCTTTCTGAACCTGATGACTGTGCATCTCAGCAGATTGTGCTCACTGGAATAATGTTGTCCTTGAAAAAAGGGATTAATACATATTGTCAAATATGCAGGATTAAAATACACATGGATTACTTTGGGGAAAATTTGAGTTCAAAGGCACCTATGCTAATCTACCAGAGAACGTCTCTGTATGGAGAACTTTAATAAATCCTAATTAATCCTTATACAGCACAGTCACACTCAGGAGTTATGATCACAGCAAGGAAATCGATGGGATTTAGGCCTTCTTAGATTATTTCTAATGTTTAAGGAATATTGAAATTCTTGGTAAGGCAAAGAGAGGGGGCAGAATGGGGAAAGAGAAGGGACTTTTCATCTCTAGGCTCCAGGACCCTGAAGCCCTAGAAAGGCTAAAAAGTCAAAGAAAAGGACCTAAAGAGAGATGCATTAAAGTCTTTCCTTCTCTTCCCACCCCTTCTGAAGAGCTGAGCAGAGAAAGGCCCACTAAAAGTTTTTGAACAGGGGCATTTCAAATGGATATGATGAAGATGTGGTCTAAGATGTATCAAATGTTCTATTTGTAGGAGCAAAGTAACCAACAAACATCTATCACTGTGCCATCACCTCAGGGGCAAGAAGAATGGAAGGAGACTCTAATCTTCTGGTCGGAGTGGTGAAGAAATGATTACCTTCTTTGGGGTAGGAGGCACCAGTTTAAATTTCTATAGGGCAGAATTATGTCTCCTTTCCTTATTGTATGTGTGCCCAAAGCCTCCCGAGTCTATTTGGGATTAGATTGAAAGTATGTGACCAATACGTCCCCCTCCCTTTTCAGGCTTGTTTCTACTAACTCCAATGTGCTTAATATATGGGTCTGTGGTCATTCAGATGGAGTGCTGTCCCCTCAAGGCATATTAGAAAAATCCAACACTAAGTTTACTAGTTACCTTTTCTGATTCTCAAATTTGGGCAAGAAATTTTACCTTCCTGGTCTTCAGTTTTCTCAGCCTTGAAATGATGGAGTTTCACCAGGTGACATCTGAGGTCCCTTTCAGATCTAGACTGTGATCTTATGATATGATGATCTCTCCCACTGATCCAAAGTATCCACTTGGGATTTTACCTATGCACTTGTTAGATTTGTCCCAAGAAGCAGTTAATATGCATTTAGATGTCAACCAGTTCACCTCATGATCATATCAAATAATAGGGCAGCTCAGTGGCATAGGTGATAGAATGTTGGACTTAGAAGCAGGAAAACCTGAATTCGAATCCTCCCTCTGACACTTGTCACTAGCTATGTGACTGTGGGCAAGTCACTTAATCTGTCTCAGCTCAGCTTCCTCATTTGTGAAAGGGGATAATAATAGCACTTACCTCACAAAAGTAGCTAGGTGATCCAGCGCATAGAGTGTTGGTGCTGGAGTCAGGAAGACCTGAGTTCACATCCAGTCTTAGACACTTACTGGCTGTGTGACCCTGAGCAAGTCACTTAACCCTGTTTGCCTCAGTTTCTTCCTCTGTAAAATGATCTGGAAAAGGAAAAGAAAAACCATTCATTCTGGTATCTCTGCCAAGAAAATCCTAAAAGGAGTCAGGCACAACTGACATGACTGAATAACAGCAGCAATACCTGATAAGGCCATTATAACGATCAAATAAAATTAAATAATGTATAAATTACTTTGTAGACCATAAAGTATTCTATCAGCTATTCTTAGCTATTCTATTAGCTATTATTAGTATTACCCAGCCATCTGCCAACAAGAATTTACTTTGTCTTGTTTCTTGGGTATATTTCTTTTTTTTTCCCTTTGTTGGCTAGGCAGTGGGGTTAAGTGACTTGTTCAGGGTCACACAGCTAGTAAATGTTATGTGTCTGAGGCCGGATTTGAACTCAGGTCCTCCTGAATCCAGGGCTGGTGCTCTATCCACTGCGCCACCTAGATATCCCCGAATATATTTCTAAATGGAACATACACAAGCCCCTAGACCCTTTATACTGAGAATGTTGGCTGCAGCTATAAAGTTATGAACTTGGCATGACTCTTCATAATCACACCTTGAGATATTCAATGTCATGGAGAATGCATGGCCAAAGGAATGGACTTGAGGGTTTCTTGATGCCTTGTGAGTATTCTAAAATAGTGAGGCTCTGGCTGGGCTGTCAAAAGGTAAAGGCCAGGGAATGATTATGAGCCTGATGCTACTATCCTTGCAGAGAGCAGAGCGTTTTAGAACTGGAAGGGACTTCAATGATCATCTACTCTGAGGAATGGGAGGTTGAGAACAATTTGTTCCAAAGGCCATGAAGGCAGCTGAAGAAGGAGCTGTGAAGCACTTAGAGTTTGGTCAGGCATTGAAGAAGTCAAGGTCATCCTCTGCATCCTGGTCCATCACCAGTCACCTTGACTTTTGTCTTGCCACTGGGCTTCAATAACTCTGGAAGAGAGAGTGAGGCTGTGTGCACCTCTGGCCTTCCTTAAATTCAATTCACGCACAAGTCAAGACATCACCCTGTGATATCATTGGTTCTCTTTGAAAACAAAGGACGCACAATGATTCCAGCTCTCATCGACAGGTGAAGAAATGGAGGCCTAGTCTGGATCCCTGGCTTCTGTGACCTGACTCTCCACTGTCTTTCCTCCTACTTGTTGACCTCTCTTCATTCTCCTTTGCTGGATCATCATCCATCGACCTACAGAGCATGGATGTCATCCCTCCTCCCCCTTTGATGAAGGCTCTGAGCCTCCTTTTCCCTCACACTTTCTTAGCAAAGTTATAAGGGAGAACACTGGATTTGGGTCAGAGGCCCTGGGTTTGAATCTTGGCTTTGACACTTACCAGCTTATCATCTAAGCTTCAGTTCAACATCTTTGAGTCCATGAGTCTTTCTTGGTGACCTCATTTGCTCCCCCATGAGTTCAATTTTCATTTCTACACAGTGGATGACCAAATCTGTATGTCTGGTCCTAATCTCTCTCTGGACCTCAAGCCCCATGTCTCCAACTGGCTATCTCTCAAACTCAGCATCACTACAATGGAATTTACCATGCCACTTCCCGTCTCCCAGTCCTCAGTGGAATATACCACCATCTTTCAAGTTACCAAAGTTCATAACCTTGGAACTATTCTTGACTCGTCCATTTCCCCTATTTCCTACATCTAACAAATGACCAAGTCTCACTGATTCTGCCTCCATTATATTTCCGTTATGTGGCACCTTCTTCCCACTTATTTAAGCCTCGTTATTTTAAAAGCTCCTTCTTCTGTCTCTTCTTCCAGTCTCACCTTTCTCCATACCACTGTCCAAATAATAATCTTTCAAAATAATCTCCCTATGACACAGTTAAGCGTTGCAGTGGATAGAACCCAGGGCCTGAAGTGAGAAAGATTTGAGTTCAGATCTGTCCTGAGACCCCTACTAGCTGTGTGATCCTGGGCAAGTCACTTTATCTCTATCTGCCTCAGTTTCCTCAACTATAAAAAGGGGATCATAATAGGACTACCTCACAGGGTTGTTGTGAGGATTAAATGAGATAATATTTATAAAATTCTTAGTAGAGTGCCTGGCAAACAGAACAGTTTGCTGACGTGAACAGAATGTAGTTGATATTGTTGTTCAGTTGTTTTCAGTCATGTTTGTCTCTTTGTGACCCTCTTTGAGGTTTTCTTGGCAAAGATACTGGAGTAGATAGAGCCCTGGGCTTAGAATCTGGAGGATTTATCTTCATGATTTCAAATCCAGCTCCAGATATTTACTGTCCATGTGACCTTGGGCAAGTCACTTCACCCTGTTTGCCTCAGTTCCTCATCTGTAAAATGAGCTGGAGAAGGAAATGGTAAACCCCTTCAGTATCTTTGCCAAGAAAACCCCAAATTGGGGTCATGAAGAGTTGGACGCGATTGAAAAATGATTAAACTTAACAGTGCCTGGCACATGGTTAATGCTTAATAAATGTTTATTTCCTTCCTTCCGTCCATCCTCAGACTGGTCTGATCATGCCATTCCTCTGCTCAATAGTACATGTTCTTTTTTTTTTTTAAACTAGGCAATGGGGTTAAGTGACTTGTCCAGGGTCACACAGCTAGTAAGTATTATGTGTCTGAGGCTGGATTTGAACTCAGGTCCTCCTGACTCCAGGACAGGTGGCTTTATCCACTATGCTACCTAGCTGCCCCAATAATGTATGTTCTTTGACCCATCAAGACCACTACTAGAAATCAAAGAAGAAAAAGTCCTATGCATATGAAAATATTTAGAGCAGCTCTTTTTGTGGTGGCAAAGAACTGGAAATTAAGTTTCGGGGAGTATTTATTAATTGGGGAATAGCTGAACAAATTATAGTATATGAATGTAGTAGAATGTCATTGTGCTATAACAAATGAAGAAAGTTTCAGAGACACCTAGAAATACTCGTACGAACTAGTCCCTATCACTTCTTAGATAAAATACAAATCTCTCTGCTGGGCATTTAAAGCCCTCTACAATCTGGCTCCAACCTACCTTTGCAGACATTCACGTTACTTCCCTTTATGCATTGCACATTCTGGTCAGACTGACCTATTTTCTTGTTTCCTTAACTTACCGTGGAATCTCCCATCTCCATGCCTTTGCATAGCGTGCCTGGAATGATATCCGTCATAATCTTTGTTTATCTGAATCCTCGGTTTCTAAGCCCAGATTACTTGCCACCCACTACATGAATTTTTCCTGATCCTTCCGTTGCTGGTGCTGTTTTCCTCCTTAGATGAACTTCTATAATATACCTTGTCATATTTCCCTGGCTGAATGTTAGCCTCAAGAATGCAGGGACTTTTGTGCTTTTGTCTTTGTATTTCTAGTGCAGTAGCACCTAGTAACTCACCTAGCAGAGTAGTGTTGGTGAATTATATGGAAGGAGCCAGCATCCCCTAGTGGATAGAATGCTGGACTTGGGGCCAGGAAGACCTGGTTCAATTCTTGACTCTGATAGTTGCTGCATGATCCGGAGGGAGTCTCTTAACCTCGCAGAATATTGTTTTCCTCATCTGTAAAATGAGATGATTGGACTAGATGGCTTCTGGGATCCCTTCCACCTCTAAATCTACGATCATTTGACTTGTCTGAGGTCACATAGCTAGTTAGCGACAGAACAAACTCTGTTAAGTGAGCCATTTAATTTAATTTAGCAAGCACAGATTGGCTAGGTACCAGGCTAGGCTTGAGGGTGAAAAGATAAGAGAAGTTTACATAGTGGTGGTGGGGGAGGGGGAGAAGGACCCCTCACAGTACCATATAATACATGAGTGTGAGTAATGGATCCAAAGGAGACAAAATATTCTGAAAATTTTTGAGAAGGGGAAAAAAAAAAACACTTTGATCTATAAGGAGCCTCCTTGGAGGAAGTAGGGTCTGAGATGAGCTTTGAAGGAAGATTTTCCTAGCGATAAATTTTGGGATCTTTCTAAGCCTGAGTATTTGTAATCTGGTAGCATTTAGTTCTCCCTGCAATTTTTTGGGACCTTGCAGAATCAGGAGGAAAGCTGCCAACTAAGAGGTCAGAATCCTGTCCCACAAAAAAATGAGAGGCCCTGGGGTAGAATTCTAAACATCCTCAGACCTGGTGGACAGAAGAAAGACGCCTTTTGTTTGAGAGGAAAGGGAGCGCCACGCTATGCCAGCATGCTGAACATGACAGCTCCGGGTCCAGTGAGGAATCAGTTACTTCAGAAAAACAAAGATCCCGGACTGCCACTGATACTCAGCCAGTACCTCTGCAGAAGGTAATATGAGGTTCCTCATGAAGGGAGACATCTCAGGTAGCAGCTATTCCAGTGAGAGGGAAGCGGCAAACAAAACTAACCCTGAAAACTGTCGGTGTCAAACCAAGAGAGTGATAAGGAAGTGTGCAAGCTGTCTCAGTTCAGGGAAGGATGACTTCAGCTGTCTGGAGACGACTGGAGTCATCCTACTTCTTCCTCGACAGTTCACCTCCATACTATCTTTGGCATTAGTCATCCCCCCAAAACCTTCTGTGGCTCCCTATTGACTAAAGGTTGAAACATAAATTAACCTGACATTTAAGGCCCTCCACAATCTCGATGCAATCTACCTTTCTAGTTTTATTTCACACTACTACTCCCCTTCACACAAATTGTGGTTGAGCTAAGCTATGCAGTTTACTTCTCTCTCTCTCTCTCTCTCTCTCTCTCTCTCTCTCTCTCTCTCTCTCTCTCTCTCTCTCTCTTTTTCTTTCTTTCTCTCTTCCTCCCTCCCTCCCTCC